CCTGCCCTCGCCGACGGTCGACTGCCGCGCCGCCTGATGGGTTGTTCTCTGGCGTGGCGTTCGCTTTGTCAGCGGCTGTTGCTTTGAAACTGAAAACTCTGGGTGGCCGAGTCTCGGGGAAGAGGGGCGGGGTTGTCAACGTTCGTGCTGGCGTCGGGCGTTCGCTTGGCGTTATTATGTAGTCGTTGTGTCTCGGAAGAGGGAGGTTCGGAGACCTGAGGAATCGATTGCGTCAACGGGGCTCGTTGTTTTTTTGTATTCGTTCGGGTTTTGCTCCGTGGTGCGTGGAGGTTTCCAGCGGGAATTTCCTATGGGGTCCTATTCTAGCGTCCGTAGGTTTCTTCGGTCGACGGCTCTTGCAATCGCGCCACGCGTTGTTCTTTGGCGTATTGTTCGCCCGATGAACAGTTGCTGCCTTCAAGGAAAACTTGGCGTGGCCGAGCGGTCTTCGGAATTGTTGGGTTTTCACAATTAAGGCAGGCGTGTGTTATGCACGCGTATCGCATTTTCATGTAGTCGTCGCGCAATGGAAAACGAAAGGAGTTTCGAAGGCAAGGCCGGACCCGAAGAACCGATTGCGTTTACAGGGCTCGTCGTGTTTCGCGGGTTTCGTTCCGTCTTGATCGGAGGGTTCCAGCAAGAGTTTCCAACTCCAGCGTCCGTAGGTTGTCTCGTTCGACGAAGTTTGTAATCGCGTGATGGGTTGCTATTTGGCGTGGCGTTCGCCCGATCAACATTCACCGCCCTGCAATTGAACGTCGGGTTGGCCGAGAGCTCTTCGGAAGAACCTCGGGCGTGCGCTATTCAGGCGCTCGCTCTGCATTATAATGTAGTCGTTGTGTATAGGAAGAGGGGGGTTCAGAGGTTGGAGAAGGTGTCTAGAGAAACGATTGCGTTTGCAGGGCTTTTTGTTTTTCGCGGGCGCGTGGGGTTCGGTTTTTTCATTGGCTGGGGGTTTCCATCGGCAGTTTCCTACTCCTGCGTCCGGAGTTTCTTCGGTTGACGGCTCTTGCAATCGCGTTATGCGTTGTTTTTTGGCGTGGCTTTCGCCCGATCAGCGGTTGCCGCCCTAAAAGTGAAAACTCGGCGTGGTCGACAGTTCTTCGGGATTGTGGGAGTTTTGAAAATTAGGTCTGGCGTGTGTTATTCAGGCGTTCTCTTTGCATTCTCATGTAGCCGTCGTGCATTGGAGCAGCGAGTTTCGAATGATGGGTTGGGCCTAGAGCAACGATTGCGTGCACAGGGCTTGTCGGTTTTCGAGGGCGTTCAGGTTTCGCTCCGTGTTGATTGGAGGGTTCCAGCAGGATCTTCCGATTCCAACGTCCATGGGTCTAGAGAAACGATGGTTTTACAGCGTCCGTTTTTTTCGGGCGTTTGCGTTTCGTGTCGTGTTGTGTGGAATTTCCCAGCGGGAAATTCCTGTTCCAGCGTCTGTGAGTTTCTTCGGTCGGCGGCTCGTGTGAACCGCGTCATGCGTTGGTCTCCGGCGTATTGTTGGCCCGATGAACGGCTACTGCTTTAATGACATTGAAATTTGGTGTGGCCGAGCGTTCTTCGGACAAATGGGAGTTTTCAACATTGGTGCAAACGTGTGTTGTTCAGGTGTTCGTTTTGCATTCTTATGTAGTCGTAGTGTATCGGAAGAGGGAGTTTTGAAGGCTGGGTTGGGCCTGGAGAAACGATTGCGTTTACAGGATTCGTTCTGTCTGACGGGCGTTCGGGTCTCGGCGGAATTGATGAGATGCGGGCATTTCTGAAGGTGACCATGTCCCCTTGGTGGCTTGAGGCATACAGCAGGAATTTCTGTTCCAGCGTATGTGAATTTCTTCGTTCGACGACCGAGTGAAATGTCCCGTTTGCTTGAAATAGTTTCTTCGTTCGGTCTGCGGAATTTCAGTTGTCGCTGGGAAAAGTTTTCCCGCTGGCCCAGCAAAAGTTCTTCGCTCGACGGAACAAATTCCCCGTTCGCCTGTCGACCCTCCCAAATCCCCTGCTCATGTGTCCTTACAGGCCTTTCTTTTCACAATGGCGCCCGGCCCCTATCAGCCGAAAGCGTTTTTGGCCGAAAGCAATGTGTACCCGAAATCCTATCTGACTTATGGCCGAAAACCGAGTGTGACCAACAGTGCGGCCGAAATTTAAGCTCGCATTTGTTTCGAACCAACAAGTTCGGTCATGTTCGGGCGCGTTCGGAAAAGTTCGGGCGCCAATGTCTGCCACACATTGGCAAATTTTCGGTCACAGTTTCGGTTTTCATCACAAGGGTACGTGATATTCATCACAAAAGGCGAGGCTACGTGATTTTCACCAACACTAAGGCGAGGCTACGTGATTTTCATCACAAAAGGCGCCCGCAGGAAACATTAACACCCGATGGGCTTACCATTCAGGCTGGAACTCCGTTTTGACAGGAATTGCCTTGTACCCTTCTGACGAAATTGGAACTGTGGGAGAAGGTAGGACCGTCAGGTTCGTCGAAATGTACAGCGAAAGCAAGTTCTTGGAACGGAGCTACTTTCCAGTGTGTAGTTGCCACACATCTGACATGTCTGGTGGCGATTTCCATGTGAGGAAGGCGCAAGCGAGAGGCCACCGAGCTGGGAAACGCCACGCGTGCAGTGACGGGGGCCACCCGTGCAGCGCTGATGGAAGCCGTCCGCGGCAAAGACCGCGGGTACAACAGCAAAGCTTTCGTGTGTATTTTTCGGGCGACGAGAACTATGCACATGCACCGATCCTGGCAAGGCCGATCCTTGACCCAGGATCGGTGCATATGCCTTCCTGGCCAAGGTAGGAGGGCGTATGCACCGATCCTGGGCTCAGGATGGGCCTGGCCAGAATCGGTGTATGTGCATAGTTCTTTTTCCTTTATATTTTCCCCGAACAGATGCGGATGGCACTGATGACCAAAAGCCGCGGCCACAGGCCCTGGCGGAGTACCGGCGGCTGCTGCGCAAGAGGCGTCAGGCCGGGCAGCTGGCGCACGTGCCGAGCACGCTGGAGGGGCTCCGGCGGGGGAGGGCGCACCGCGGCTGGGGTCTTTGGACAGAGAGGGTGACGTTTTGTGAGGGCGATCGCTCTGATTCGAAGAAGAAAAAACGGCATAAACATAAACCTTTGGCGCTCCGCTCCGCTGGGCCCCCCAAGGCGGCGCCGCCCCTGGCGCGCTCCGCGCGCCAGGGAGGGGGGCCCAGTGCGGATCCAAGAAATCCGAGCGGAGCGCCAAAGGTTTTTGTTCATGCCGTTTTTTCTTGTTCTACTGACCTCTCACGACGGTGACGAAAAAGGGGGGAAGGCACATCCGCAGCGGGGGCCTATGCGGCACCCCCGCGCCTGGCCAGGGCCATCCTCTGGGCCCCATTGCGATGCATCGGCCCTCGTGGTCTCTCGGCCAGGAGGGCGTGTGCGGCATGCCTGGGCCCAGGAGGACCCGGGTCGGGCATGGTGGTGGGTTGTGATGGTTGTGGTGGTGGTGGTGGTGATGGTGGTGGTGTGTAGGTTTAAGTCGGGCTTGTCCTTCTACAGGAGAAATATTCAAAAATAGTAAAAACACATGTTCGTTTTTTGGGATATATTATAGATTGTTGTTTTTTTCGTGTGTGACTTGTTTTTTTTGGGTATTTTCTATTTTTCGTCCACCTGCAAGAAGACATGCCCGATCTACGTGTAGGTGCCTTCTGTGCGTAGCAGTGGCGTTCACTGTAGCGTCTATCATGTACGTATTCGCGATGTTGGCCACGTCCGATTCTACAGTCACGGAACAATTCAAGAACAAGTTGAGTACCTTGCAGCTGCATTCCAAGTATTTCACACTCAGCATTGTTGTTTTGATGGTCGCACATCTCGAGAAGATGTTCATCAAGATTCCGCGCCCTGGCACGTCTTGCATGCACACGTGCGGGACGCCCGATGGCATGGACGTTTGGGCCATGGCGCTCTTCGTGATCCGCATGGTCGACTTGATGTTTCGGTGGGCCTTGCCCTTTATGAGCTTCAAGCACGACGACGGAGACTTGTCGCTGGAAGCACCGCTACTCCAGTCGACCAAGACCAAATCCAAGCCGATCCCCACGCACCAACTGCACACGCGTGCAGCTGCTGACTCGGACCCCTCCGACGCCATGATTTTTCATCACGTCGACCCCGACCGTCTTGAGCCATGCCCCTGGATCAGCTTTTCCCCCTGAGTCGTTGTTAGACGGCCCCACGGCCCAGTAAGATCCCCCCACGGAGGCCGAAAATGGCGAAAACCTTCCCGTCGTGATTGTCTCATGACCCGAGGGAGCCTGAGGAGGGGGAGGATTGAGCAGGGACCGACCGTCCCGGCATTCCAATAGGCCTACCACGACGTAGCCCGCGCCGTCCGACAATGGATACGGGGAGTCTTGTCCGCTCGCCCCCTCTGAGCCTCAACAACCCTGGCCTTCACACCTGACCAGAGTATCTGAGCATGCGATGTCTTGATGCCTTCAGAACGAGGTCCCCAGAAGTCCCGACCCTTCCCTGGGACCGGATTTTCATCTTGAGTCATCTTTTGGTGGTCCCGTGGCCCGGTTCGGCACCCCAGAAGGCCAACGCGACCAAAAGCTTCCCGTCCTGATCTCTTCAGTCACGACGCTGGGTACGGATGGCGTCCCTCTCTTTCGTCGGTGCGCCAGACGTTCAGGGGGTATGGCCCGTTAGGCGCCGTGCGGCGTGTCGGCGGAGTGCTCGGTCGTCGGGAAAGGTGGGCCCCTCCAGGGGAGGCCGCTGCTGGTGGCCAGCTGCGGGCCGTTCGCGACATCACGGCCCAGCACCAGCACCAGCACCAGCAGCAGCTGGCCCTCATGGCGTCGGCCTCGTCCGTGCCGTCGCAGGGCATGCCAGCGCTGCCTGCGCCGGGGCAGGCCCGAAGCTCGGGCCGACGCGCGGCGCGCTCTCGTGGTCGGCTGCGTTTCTTGGAGCGCTTGTTTGGAGTTGCCGACCCCATTTGTGGCGCACGCACGCTCTCCACAATACTGTATATCACGGCACAGCACAGCACGCGAGGACCTGAGCCCTCTGAGCGCGGGGCGGTTGTTGTGAGGGGCTGGGGCGACGAGCCAGAGCTTGCACCGTGCTCAAGCAGATCGCTGACCCCTCTCGGGGGGGAAGGTCAGCAGAAAAAGCGACGGCAGCCTTGTGATTCCAGTACTCTCCGAGGCGAGACGTGGGCGAGCGAAAGCACCGAGGGTGTGGCTGTGTGCCTGGTCGGGCGTGCCTCTCTCTTGGTAGCAAATGGGGAGCCTTGTGTACTTTGGTAATTCTGTCTTTCGAGTGCGTCAGCGTCGACTAGCGTCTAGTAATCGATGGGATGGCGCCGATTTAGCTTCAATTCGTGTCGATTCGCAAGTGCTATCAAGCTGGTATGGGAGGCTCCCATGAGTTGCCGCAGAGCTGGTGGTTTCTCCTGGACCAGCCCCTCACACCCGAGCCGTTTTCTGACGCAGAGGGGCCCCTGGGAGCCCGAGGACAGTGAAGAGTATCTCCAGGACCCCTCCTCCTTCTCCCCCTCCTCCTCCTCCTCCTCCTCCTTCTCCTCCTCCTCTTTCTCCTCTTTCTCCTCTTTCTCCTCCTCCTCCTCCTCCTCCTCCTCCTCCTCCCTCCTCCTCCTCCCCCTCCTCCTCCTCCTCCTCCTCCTCCCTCCTCCTCCTCCTCCTCCTCCCTCCTCCTCCTCCTCCTCCTCCTCCTCCTCTCCTCCTCCTCCTCCTCCTCTTTCTCCTCTTTCCTCCTCCTCCTCCTCCTCCTCCTCCTCCTCCTCCTCCTTCTCCTCCTCCCCCTCCTCCTGTTACCTGTTACCTGATGGCTGAAGTGTCGTGCCGACGCATACCTCCCCCACGGCCGGTCGGCCCTGGGAGGTTGATCGAACGAGGGCCAGCTGACCCCTGGAGCACCGCTCCAGGCGCCAACGGCGACTCACGTGGTAACGTGTGGCTGGGAGTCAGTTGTACAGGGAAACACAAAGGAGGGAGGGAGGGAGGGAGGGAGGGAGGGAGGGAGGGAGGGAGAGGAGGAGGAGAGGAGGAGGAGGAGAGGAGGAGAAGGAGGAGGAGGAGGAGGAGGAGGAGGAGGAGGAGGAGGAGGAGGAGGGGGAGAACGGAGAGACATCGAACAATCCATCATAACATGAACAAGGAGAGATGAGTACGAGTAGGGACTGGGCAGCGGCCGCGTCTTGAAAAGGTGAGAGCCCCGTGAGCCTTGTTGGGTCCTCCCCCTCTTCGGGTCTACTGGCACTCTTGGGTCCGCGCCCTGGATGGTCCCCTGGGTGCCCCTCTGAGGTGTCCACCTTGGTCAGCCACCGTAGAGGTGGCGCGGGCTTGGCTGCCGTGCCAGGGTGCTCTTTGGGCAGCGCAGGAGTGGGATGGGGGCAGAGAGGCAGAGGTAGGTGAAGTTAGGCGTGGGCGGGGAAGCGGTGGCGCAACGCGGCGCGAGGCTGAGTCGGGGTGGCTGCAGGTGGCCTGCTGGGTTAGGGGTGTGCGCGGCATTAAACAGTGCCTGGCTGCCGCCGTGTTACTTCTTGTCGCCTATCGTGCTGCCGTTTCTTGCTTCGACTGGGCCAGCTGGCCTGCTCAGTCGCTCGCAAAGCCCGCAGAAACAGTGTAGGTGGGGAGGCAGCTGGCGGTGTGGCTGCAGGCTGGCTGCGTGGCGATGGAGGTGCCTGCCCACGCTCGCCGGCGTGGAGGGCACAAGGGCTTTTCCCTCTGCGCGTAGGCCCCCCCACAGGCGTCCCCAGGGTCAACGGTGGCATCCCTCGCCTGTGACCAGGCGTAGGGTTCCCAGCACGTTGACCCTGGGGCCGCCTGGGGGGTGCCACCGAGCACGAGGGAGGTTTGTGCCCTCCACGCGGCGGCGGGATCTCCCACTCTCGCCGAGAGGGGCAGGTGGCCACGCTCGCCCAGGTGGATTGCATGATGGCCTCTCCCCCTGCACATAGGATCCCCCACCCCCGAAGCGTCCACCATCCCAGTGACTGGATCCTCCCCTGGCAAGCAGGAGGAGGGTACCCCGATCACTGGAGTGGTGGCCGCTTGGGGTTTCCACCGTGCTCGGGGGAGGTTTCTGCCATCCTTGGCGGTGGCACGCTGTAGGTTTGTAGTCCCCCGCCCTGCCATAGATACCCTTCCCAACCGGCCTTAGTTGTTGTGCCTGCCTGAATGTGAGAGGTGGGGCGTGGCACTGAGGGTGTAGAGGTGGGAGGTGGAGGAGCGCAGTATAAGCAGTGCTGGTTGCAGCCGCGGCCGACCTGACCCTTGCCAGGCCAGCCTGCGGTAGGACGTTCCCCACGCCCGTCCCACATATATCCACACGCCACATCATCCCTCCGCCACAAGAGGGGGCGTAGTGAGGCTAGTGAGTTGCAGCGGGGGAGAGGGGCTGCGAGAAGGAAACCAACAGGGAGGGAATGCTTGTCACCAAACTGTGTTGTTGGCCCCCGTTTACAACAACAACGGATCCCGCCTGATACCTCCTGGTAATTTATTCCCGCATCGCGCTTTCCCGCGGGATGTCCTCACAATTTGTAAAGTAATCGCGCTCTCGCGTGGGCTCGCAATTTATTCAGACGCCGCGCCCTCGACACTCAGGAATCACGCTCTCGCCGTGGATGTCCTTGCGATTTATTTGGAAATCGCGCTATCGCTCGAGATTTCTCGCGATTCATGCAGGACGCATGCTTCAGCAACCCGCCTGCTCGACCTGGCCGCCTGGGCCTTCTTTCCCGACCCACCCGTTAGGGTCTACCCGCCCGATCTGCCCGTCTGGTTCTGCCACGTGTTTTCTGCTCCTAGCCCCTGTCCTGGTAATCCTCGTGCTCCATCCTCCACCCTCCCCCTTTCTTCCGTCCTCTCCTCCCCTGCCTTGGGGGCTGCGCTAGATACGCGCGGCAGGCAAGGAAGATCTGCCCCCACCGGGGGTACGAGCGAAGACGAAGAGGGCGGGTACCGAGGGTCCGGGGCATCCGTGTGGAGTGGCACGCGGGCGCATGGGAGCGAGCAGTCTTAAGATGACTGCTGTCGCTGCCGCCCGCAGAACCGGATCGGATGCCCTGGGGAGGGCGGCGGGAGGGCTCGAAGCGATGGGCCGCCGCGAGGGCCCGGAGCCCCCTCCGCCGTGGTGGCCGCATGCACAGGGTCGCGTCGAAGGGTCCCCCCACGGCGGGGGCGGCGCAATCGCGTCGTCCGCGCGACGTCCCCCAAACAGTTCATGGCCCAGATCTTGCACGTGATCGCCATCTTCTTCATCGTTTTGCCCATCGGCGCGGGCCCTCTCGCACCCCACCCCTCCCCCCACATGGAGCAGATCTTGACTGTTTTTGGCGCCTGTCTCGAGCAGGTTGAGCCTCTCCCCCTCGGGACGCACTGCTGCAAACAGCCGCATGAAGCAGAGGTCCGGAGCCAGGCCTTCCCCCCTCCCCCTCCTCTTTCCGCCCAATGTCGAAACGCCGAATCAGAAAACGCTTGCCAGATCTTGCGCTCGGAACTCCTGCGTTCGAGCTGCGTTCACATCTTGCACTCAGAACTCCTGCGCTCGAACTGCCTCTTTCCACATCCTGCGCCCCGGTGGAGCGACGGGAGTGCCGCGCGCTGCAGGGAGCTTCCCCGACGGCGCGGAGCCAGGGCTCCAGGAGTCAGGCCGGCGATGGGGGGTGCGTCTCTGGGGCTGCGACATGCTCTCCGATACACAGTTAACCCGCGTGTGCAAAGGGTGCCGTTGCATCCTTGCCTCCACGGCCCATCCTTGGCCACTCTCGTTGGCCGCGCCCCGCTCGAAGAGCTTAGGAATGGGTGTCCAAGGCCCTTGCATCTTTATCCCGCATCCTTATGACACGGGTTGACTGTAAGGCCTCCTTCTCGGATCTCCTCGCCCACCTGCCCCCTCGCACGTGAGGACCGCTGGGCCTCTCACGAGGAGATCTCGTCCTTCTCCTGCCTCCCCTCCGCTTCCTCCTCGCTCTCCCGGCCCCGGGTCGTCGCTGGACGGATCCGATACCTTTGTTGCTGGCCTGCGGCGGAAGGCCTGGCCCCAAGCAGGTAACTCGTCGTCGCGACCCGCTGCCCCCGCTTATCGTGCCGGGTGGTATGCGGGCGTTCCTGGTGCCCAGCCCGAGCGCAAAGTGTTGGTTCGAGACGGCCTCAGACTCGATCGCGCCCACTTCCCAGCGATTGTCTTCTGCTCTCGCCGATTCTTCGAGTGCCGACGCAAGAGTGCAAGTATTTCCTTGGCTTGTGCCCCGATGCTGACGAATGACATATGACCCGAACGGGCGCAGTAAGTAATTGACACCATCTCGGGTTCATGCTGAGCAGTTCTCGGTGCCGATTTCACAGCACATGCCACCTCTTGAACGACGAAAGTCTTTTACCCACAGCAGTCGATGCCTCTTTTGGGCAGCATCGATTTTTGGCAGGCCTTGTACTCTTCAATGCAATGCCCGTTTCGGGCGTGTCCAGTGCCATCAGGACGTTGGTTCAAGGCTTGAGTATTGTGCTAAGATGGGGATAGGCCTTTGCTATTTTTATCATTTGCTTGAGGTTTGGGCGAAGCACGACCACTCTACTTTGGCAATCAAAATGCCACGAGATCTTGCATTCCATATCCAGCGACCCCGCGTCACACAGCACACCCTTTGGTCGACCGGTGGGTGCGTCGTCAAGTGAATGGTCTTGTCATCGATCGGCTGGTCCTTTCTCGATCGCGCTGTTTTATCGTTCGCTCGTGCCCAGGTCGCGCGTCCACCTCCCACCCTCACTGACGACGTCATCATGCCACGAAGGTTGCGTGTACGAACTTATCGCGTCTCTGCTACTGGGGTGCCCCCCATCGTCCGAGGGGGCGGGGGCAGTCAGAGGGACATCTTGTGGTTCAAGGAGTTTGTCGCTCTTCCTGCTCGCCTGTTCGGGCCCCCAGCGTCACGTGCGCCAGGGTACCAACGCGCACCTGCAGATGTCGCTGAACGCGTCGATGCGCTCAAGAGCTTCAGGAGCAGCGTTTGCGGGTGGACTGGCGCTCAGCTGCCCGTAGAGAGTGCAGGTCGTCGGAAAAGCCTGGCCGAGAGCGCTGAGAGACCCCCGCACTCATAAAGACCGAAAAGGTGAGAAGGCTAACATTATCTAACCGCATAATGTCTTTCAATGGCTTGACATCCGCAGCCAGCCTCTAAGGCCTCCAAGACGGCCCAGGACCCCCCCAGGAGGGCCCCAGGACGGACCTGAGACCATCTCAGCACGTTTCCTAGCACGTCCCTTGGTGCGTCCCCTGGCATTTCTGCGGCGCGTCCACTGGCACGTCCTCTGGCAGGTCCTCTGGCACGTCTCTTGGCGCGCCCCCTGAGATGTCTCCTGGTGCGTCCCATGGCACGTGTGCGGCACAATCCCTGGCACGCTCCTTCGCCCGTCCCCTGGAGAGTCTGCACCCAATGTCTACAGTGCATTCACGCTCGCAGCAGGATCGGCGGATCCTGATACTCGACCCACCTGTGTTTCGGAGTACGGGCTTCGACAGGCAGTTCGGAGATGCTTTTTTATTGTTGTCCGGGTCGTGATTCGTTTCGTTTGGTGCGAGTAGTTGGATGCGTGTCAGTGGCTTTAGTCAGTGCTTTTTCATATTACCTGCATATCGAAGACGCCTACGGCGAATCACCGCCGCCCCCTGCCCCTTTGGAAGCGCCTCTGTGGCCGACAGCTGGGCCAGACCCCGGCCAAGCTATCGGGTCAGTTGTTCCCCGAGTCGGTTTGGAAAGACTTCGGGGAACGCATGGGGAAGCTAGAAGAGGAGGTGGGGGAGGATGAGGAAAAAAGAGGAGGAGGAGGGAGGAGGAGGAGGAGGAGGAGGACGAGGAGGAGGAGGGGGACGAGGAGGAGGAGGAGAAGGAGGAGGAGAAGGAGGCGGAGGAGGAGGAGGAGGATGAGGAGGATGAGGAGGCCTCTTGGGCGCCTCTTGGGGCACTCCTGGGGCCTCCTGGCAGCTTCCTGGGGCCCACTTGAAGGGTTTTTGGGGGCCTTCGGGGCTTCTTGGGCGCCTCTTTGGCCGTGTTAGGGTGTTCCTGGCTTGTCTGACGCCGTCAGAAGCCGTCTTGGGGGCCGCCTGTCTGGGTCTTCTTGGGGCCCTGTTGGGGCATATCAGAGGTTCTTACAAGCCATCTTAGAAGTCTTGGAGGCCTCTTGGGCCGTTTTGGGGCCCTCTTTGGGCCGTCTTGGGAGCGTTTTGGGCCGTCATGGGGCCATCTTGGAGGCTTCTTGGGCGAGTTTGGGGGCCTCTTGCGCCGTCTTGAGCCGTCGGAATGCCGAGAAGACACTTGCCAACATCTTTCAACAACCGAAGGAACATGACGAATTTTGGCCTCGTCGTGCTCTCCTGGAAGACCTCCTGGACGCCTTTTGGGCCGTCTTGGAAGCCTCTTGATGCCATCTTAGGCCGTCTTGGGTGCATCTTGGGCCGTCTTGGAGGCATCTTGGGGCCATCTTAGAAATCTTGGATGCCATTTTGGCCGTCTTGGAAGCCCCTTTGGCCCTCTTGGGGCCGTCTTGGGGGCCTCTTGGGCCGTCATGGCTCCATCTTGGAGGCCTCGTGGGCGATATTGGGGACCTCTTGGGCCGTCTTGAGCCGTCGGAATGCTGAACAGAAGCAAATGCCAAAATCCTTCAGCACCTAATGAAAATGCATGATTTTGGCATCCTCGGGCCCTCCTGGAGCTTGGAGGCCTCTTGGGACGTCTTGGAGGCCGTCTTGGAGGCCTCTTGGGGGCCTCTGGGGCCGTCTTAGGCCATCTGGAGGCCATCTGAGGCCGTCTTGGGTGCATCTTGGGCCGTGTTGGAGGCATCTTGGGCCCATCTTAGCCGTCTTGGAGGCCATACTGGGCGTCTTGGAGGCCTCTTGGGCCGTCTTGGGCCCTCTGGGGGCCGTCTTGGGGGCCTCTTGGGCCGTCATGGGGCCATCTTGGAGGTCTCGTGGGCGATCTTGGGGCGATCGTATGGGGCCTCTTGGGCCGTCTTGAGCCGTCAGAAGGCCAAAAAAAAAGCAAATGCGGCGGATCGAAGACGCCTACGGCGAATCACCGCCGCCCCCTGCCTTTGTGGAAGCGCCTATGTGGCCGAACGTTGAGGCCAGACCTGCCACGCTATCGGACCATGTGTTCCCCGAATCGGTTTGGAAAGCCTTCGGGGAACACGTGGGCATCTTGAAGGTCATCTTGGCCGCCTGGAGGCCATTTGGACTCTTTCGGTCCTTCTTGGAGGACGTCTTAGAGGGCTCGTGGGCCGTCTTGGAGGCCATCTTGAGCGTCTTGGAGGCCTCTTGGGCCGTCTTGGGGGCCTCTTGGGGCCGTCTTGGGCGCCTCTTGGGCCTTTCTGGGGCCATCTTGGAGGCCTCCTGGGCGATCCTTGGGCGATCTTTGGGAGCTCTTGGGCCGTATCGGGCCGTCGGAAGGCCGAAACGAAGCAAAATGTCAAAATCCTTCAAAAACCATCGGAACATCAGTCTTTTTAGCTTTTTCTGGCCTTCCTGGAGGCCCTCCTGGAGGCCTCTTGGGCCGTCTTGGGCCAGCTGCGAGCCACCTTCGCCCATCTTGGTGGGCTCCTGGCCCGTCTGACGCCGTCGGAAGCCGTCTTGGGGGCCTTTCTGGGCCGACTTGGGGCCCTCTTGGGGTGCTCCAGGGCCGTCTTGGAGGCCATCTTGGGCGTCTTCGAGGCCTCTCGGGCCGTCTTGGCGCCCTCTTGGGGCCGTCTTGGGGGCCTTTTGGGCCGTCATGGGGCCATCTTGGAGGCCTCTTGGGCGATCTTGGGGCGACCTTGGCGGCCTCTGGGGCCGTCGCGGGCCGTCGGAAAGCCGAAAAGGCGCAAATGCCCAAATCTTTCAAAAACCTATGGAAAATCACAGATTTTGGCCTCGTCGGGCCTTCCTGGAGGAACTCTTGGAGGCCTCTTGGGCCGTCTTGGAAGCCTCTTGCGGGCCTTTCTGGGCCGTCGGGACGGGCCGAAGCCTCAGGGGGAGTTCTTTTGGAAAAAGAGCCAGAACCAAAACCGAAAGGGTCTGGCACGCCAGGCACCCCTGTGATGAATCAACAGGGGGCGGCGGATCAAAGACGCCTACGGCGAATCACTGCCGCCCCCTGCCTTTGTGGAAGCGCCTATGTGGCCGAACGTTGAGGCCAGACCTGCCACGCTATCGGACCATGTGTTCCCCGAATCGGTTTGGAAAGCCTTCGGGGAACACGTGGGCATCTTGAAGGTCATCTTGGCCGTCTGGAGGCAATTTTGACCCTTTCGGGCCTTCTTGGAGGACGTCTTGGAGGGCTCTTGGGCCGTCTTGGAGGCCATCTTGAGCGTCTTGGAGACCTCTTGGGCCGTCTTAGGGGGCCTCTTGGGGCCGTGTCTTGGGCCCTCTTGCGGCCGTCTTGGGGCCGTCTTGGGCCGTCTTGGGGCGCTCCTGGAGGCCTCTTGGGCCGTCTTGGGGCGCTCTTGGAGACCTCCTGGGCTGTCTTGGAGCGTCGGGAAGCCGAAGAGACAAAAAACCCCAATCCTTCCAAAACCATCGTAAAGTGGACGATTTTGGCCTCTTCGGGCCCTCCTGGAGAACCTCTTGGAGGCCTCTTGGGCCGTCTTGGGCCGTCTTGGAGGCTTCTCGGGCGAACTTGGAGGTATCTTGGACCCTCTTGGGCCGTCTCGGAGGCCGTCTTGGACCATCTTGGGTGGACTTGGAGGCCATCTTGGACCATCTTGGAGGCCATCTTGGGCCAACGTGACCATCCTGGAGGCCATGTTGGGCCGTCTTGGAGGAAGAATTGGGATTGGGCGATGGCGTGTGCGTCTTGCGGGTCTTGGGGGGCGGCCGGCGGGACGGGCCGAAACCCATTGGGAGAGTTCTTTTAGAAAAAGAACCAAAACCAAAACCGAAAAGATCCAGCACGCCAGGCACCCCTGCGATGAATCGACAGGGGGCGGCGGATCTAAGACGCCTACGGCGAATCACCGCCGCCCCCTGCCTTTTTGGAAGCGCCGATGTGGCCGAACGTTGAGGCCAGACCTGCCAAACCATCTGACCATGTGTTCCCCGAATCGGTTTGGAAAGCCTTCGGGGAACACGTGGGCATCTTGAAGGTCATCTTGGCCGTCTTGGAGGCCTCTTGGGCGATCTTTCGGCGATCTTTGGGGGCTCTTGGGCAGTCTCGGGCCGTCGGAGGGCCGAAAAGAAGGAAATGTCGAAATCAGTCGAAAACCTTAGGATAATCAAGGTTTTTGGTCTTTTCTGGCCTTCCTGGAGGCCCTCTTGGGGGCCTCTCGGGCCGTCTTGGGCCAGCTTCGAGCCAACTTCGGCCATCTTGGTGGGTCTCTGGCACGTCTGACGCTGTCGGGAGCCGTCTTGGGGGCCTTTCTGGGCCAACGGGGGACCCTCTTGGGGCGCTTCGGGGCCGTCTTGGAGGCCATCTTGGGCGTCTTGGAGGCCATCTTGGGCGTGTTGGAGGCCTCTTGGGCCGTCTTGGGGCCCTCTTTGGCCGTCTTGGGGGCCTTTTGGGCCGTCATGGGGCCCTCTTGGAGGCCTCTTGGGCGATCTTGAGACGATCTTGGGGGCCTCTTGGGCCGTCTTGAGCCGTCTGAAGGCCGAACAGGCGAAAATGCCAAAATCCTTCAAAAACCCAAGGAAACAATGATTTTGGCCTCTTCGGGCCCTCCTGGAGAACCTCTCGACGTGCTTTTGGGCTGTCCTTGAGGCCTCTTAGGGGCCTCTTGGGCAGCCTTGGGCCATCTTGAGGCTATCTTAGGCCGTCTTGGGTACATCTTGGGCCGTCTTGGAGGCATCTTGAGGCCATCTTAGCCGCCTTGGAGGCCATCTTGGCCGTCTTGGAGGCATCTTGGAGGCCATCTTCGGCCATCTTGAGCGAAAAAGCCGACGAGATTTGGGAATTGAGCGCCTTCCGGGTGGCCGGCGGGACGGGCCGAAACCCACTGGGAGAGTTCTTTTAGAAAAAGAACCAAAACCCAAACC